ATGAAGATCTCCTCCACCGAAAGCAACTTCATTGTAAGCCGCCCATGGCGCCCGTCACCCAGAGTTCAACGTTAATTGATAATACTTCCAGGGCGCGGCTGGGAATTTGGGCATGTATGCATCGGGAATCCCGTTGGGTCTGTTGACAGATGCTCGAGGTCCGCGTCTGACGACTTTCTTGGGTGCAATCACGCTGGGAATTGGCTACTATCCCATCTATCTGGGTATGCCCCATATTGAACCCTGCGGATCTTGAAACTAGCTGACGTCTGCATGTACAGCATACGTCAAGGGCCCTGGGTCGATGGCCATTATCTTCCTGTCGTTTTTCGCTTTCTTGACTGGCTTCGGAAGTTGCTCCGCCTTCTCAGCGTCCATTAAGACATGTACGCCAATCCTTTCCAATGGGTTTGTTATCCTGTATAGCTAACAACATCGTTTAGCGGCTTCCAACTTCCCCGATCACCGTGGAACAGCGACTGCTTTCCCCTTGGCCGCTTTTGGGCTGAGCGCGTTCTTCTGGTCGACCGTTTCCTCGGTTCTCTTCAAGGACGATACCGGCCGCTTCCTCCTTTTGCTGGCATTGGGCACCTGTGCCCTAAACCTCGTCTCGATTCCGTTTCTTCGTATTTTGCCTCCTAGTGAGCCATATATGCCACTCGGACGGGGCAGGTCCCCTGGCGTAGAATCTCAACGACTGCGTACTACTAGATCAACCGAGTTCCGGCACAGCCTGGAAGAATCCGATGAAGCAGGTACGCAGACCTTTATAACCTATGAATCCTGTCCCGCAGCGCGTGACACATCGCACTCGGTCGTGTCGAGTCCCCATCACCCCGGCCACAACCCCGATATTGACGAAACATCCTCCTTGGTGTCCAAAGTTCCCTCACGCTCATCCCGAGAATTCCTCAACCAACACGAGGAGGATGACGATGCTCTCTCCGATGTTGCTCCCGAATCCCCGCACCCAGACGTTCGCGGCTTGGCGATGCTTCCGAAAATTGAGTTCTGGCAACTCTTTTTGACGATGGCGCTTCTTTCTGGAATTGGTTTGATGACTATCAAGTTAGTACCATCATCTTATCTTTGTACAAGATTGACGCTAACCGTTCAATAGCAACATTGGAAACAGCGTAAGGCGACCCCGCACGACCTTATTTATGTCAGCTGACCGTATTCTCGCAGGCCAAGGCACTTTGGCAGTACTACGACGACAGCGCAAGCCCGAAGTTTATTCAACAGCGCCAGGTTATGCATGTCTCGATTCTGTCTTTCGGAAACTTTATTGGTCGACTTTCTAGCGGTATGCCGGCACCTTCAATGTTCAGAATTGGCTGCTAACCTCCTATAGGTATTGGCTCCGACCTTCTGGTGAAGAAGCTGAACATGTCGCGATTCTGGTGCTTGTTCATCTCCGCCTTTGTCTTTACCGTCACCCAACTTGCAGGCTCCGCCATCTCCAACCCCCACCAATTAGCTATTGTATCCGGTTTTACCGGTATCGCATACGGCTTCCTTTTCGGCGTCTTCCCGTCGCTGGTCGCCCACACCTTTGGTATCGGTGGCCTCTCCCAGAATTGGGGCGTCATGACGCTTGCGCCTGTGTTCAGTGGCAACGTCTTCAACCTGCTCTACGGCAGCATCTACGACCGCCACTCCATTGTCGAGCCCAACGGAGACCGCGACTGCCCGGATGGTCTGGCTTGCTACCAGTCTGCGTACTACACGACGTTCTTGTCTGGTGTGGCCGGTGTGGTCGTCTGTCTGTGGAGTATCCTGCACGAGAGACGGATCCACGGCGCGATGCACAAGAAGGTCGAACATGACCGACTTGCTTAGGATGGAAGAGGCTGAAAGCGGTGACTTTTATTTTGTCTTCCTCATAAATATACCCAGGGGATATGTGCCAATTTAATTGGCAATTTGGTTGGGATTTTCAACATAGAGGGTTCGCAATTTCATATAGACAATCATTGATTTTCAAAGTGTTCCCGATAATTTTATTTTATGGGCCATGCTGCCGTTTCAACTAGGGTAAAGCTAAGCGTCAGTGTACTCCGGTTTACTGAACCCCCCATCATAACATATGAGCTACTACACAGTGTTCCAACTTACATTGTCCACCTGTGTGTAGTATCCCTTCTACCCCATTAAACTCCTCCCTTTCAATCACACTACATACCTCATCTTACCCAGACTTCTATCGAAATAGTAACTTGTCAATACATCAATACATCAATAATCCTCCCCCCTCACCCACTCATCCTCCATCAACAAATCCCTCGCACTTAGCCTCTCCCCTGGAACCCAGCTCAACGTCTTCCGCAGAAACCGCAGAAACCGCAGAAAAAGCCTCTTCCTGTCGCCCTCAAGTCGCGTCACTCGATCATCCAGGGATCCTTCAGGAATCTCTACGTGATTTTTCCAATTACCTATACATACACAATTGAACTAGTCAGTCAAAACCCAAGCTTTTCACTGATATAGATAAATACTAGGGATAGGTAAGAAAGACATACCATCTCGGTCTCAAAACCTCCCACTCTCCTCACTCCGACCCAGAAACTCACTCGGGGGCGGACCAAGCAGGGCTATCATCTCTGCGAAGCGACGATCATCCATCATCCTGTGTAATCAGGTGTGGAGTATTGGTAAAGAGGTGGTCTGATCGGAGTAGCGTCCATGCCTTAGCATCCGTACATCACTAGTTATCTTCTATGCAAATGAAAGGTATTTAAAGGTAATTTGTACCGTCTGCCCCAAAGCCCATAAATCCACCTTCTCATCCCACTCCATATTAAGCATTACTTCCAGGGCTCTATATAACCCCGGCATGATGATAGAACCACTAGTCTGTGTGGCCGTATCAGTGGGAAGAAGTAATCCCGCCTCCCCCAGATCAGCGAGCATAGGTTTACCGGTCGTGAAGGGCATTCCGCGCGTAGCGTAGATCGTTCTATCATCCGGAAGGGTGTTTCCGCGGAGCAGGCTCGTTGGGTTCTTCCTCTTCTAGGTCGGTTAGGATTGAGGTGTCTTCGATGCCTAGGAGGATGCTGGTTGGCCGGATGTTCTGTTGTGCATACTTAGAAAACTATATATGGGTGAATGTGAGAGGGAAATTGGGGCTCTGTGGTTTACCTGTATGAACGACATTAGCCGAATGAAGATAATCCAGCGCAATGAGCAATAAACCGGATGGTAACGCGGAGAAGATCCTCTGGTAATGCGTTGCCTTCGAGACCCTAAATCGCAGATGTCCATTCCGGGTGGTTGGTAGAGAATACATGGGTGGATTCCGTGGGGGCCTTGATTTTCGAACGAGTCATAGACGAGGCGGGTGTATTTCTGGTCTACATGTTTACTATGTTTGGCTTTGTGTGGTGGGTTTGTTTTAGGTGTTTGGATATGCGGATCTCCGGGAGGTGGGTGTGTTGGGTGCTGCGGACGTGGGAGTTTTAGGGTTAGGTAGTTGTTGGTTCTGGAGTAGTTGGTTAGAGTGGGTTTATAGGGATTGTGATGAGTAACTTAAGTAAGTGTGGGTAAAGGTAGTATGCATACTGTAGATCACGATATAGCCAGATAGTGGATGAGGATCCGAAGCCTAGTTTGGTGATGACTTGGTATCGGGGATTGAAGACCTCACCGATGTGGACGGGGTAAAATCGCTCGGCTCGGTAGTCGGAAAGAGATCCTTCTTCTAGCTTGGGGATGTGATTGAGGAGTTCGTAAACCTGTTGTGGGGAATGTGCGTGGTGGTGATGGGGATGAGAGGGAGCTTGTATGTCTGTGTCGATAGGGGTGGAGGGGAGAGGTGATGGATCATTATAGTGATAGTTGGGGATAGCAGATACTGCGGATGGACGGCCTACAGAGGCGCATTACTATTATTATCTTCATAGCTGCCTGATCTATCTGATTGGTGAAGATTGAAATGCTAAATTCATGGATAGAGAAACACGTGCTCTATGTCATGTGTTTAGTCCTATCGACATGCATCCCTGTTCTGCCTATTCAACTCCGATTATTATCCGTTCTCATCACTGACACTCTAGTTCGATCCCAGCCATGACTGCTCCTCTACAAAGAGGGTTTCCTCATGCCAACATCATGAATGCGCCCTTACATCTGATCAATAGATAGGAAGAGGCAGCCAGATGTCTATCCCTCTACCTCCGAGAAGTACTAGAGCCAACGAGCATTGCGCTCCAAATGGCGACATCCCCCTACGTGCACTAAGTCATTACCCACCATTATCCCCTCACCTACCAATATACTCTATCTAAACATAAACCCAGATAACAATACTCTCACCAACCCAACAATAGGTTAGTATAACCGCATCACTCTCCCTCAAAAGCGGGGAAGCCTCCAATCAGCACATCCCCGACCGTCGGGAATCCGGGTAATAAACAACCTCTTAAGGGCAGAATTACCATAGATAGATCATAGATAGGATGAAAATCTGCTTATGGTTATGAACAAGCAAATTTGAGTGAGGAGATTGCCGATCAACGTCGTATCCCCGACGGACAACAAATCAGGTTGGGCCAATAATACAGGGAGGATTTGCGTGATGGGCATTGATAAGGGCAGATTGCAGATTGCATTGTAAGGAGGTCGGGTACAAGACCGGGTACTCCGGACTCGTGACCAGTTGCACTTCATCCATCGCACTGATAAGGAAGGAATCGGATCGACGGAGTGGAGTAGATGCGAGTGGTGAGATGAGATGGGATGCCCAGGTTGGGGGTTTCATCATTAAAGTGGGATGATATAGGGTCGGTGGTCTTAAGGATTAGGGTAGGTTGGGTTACAATGGGGATACTGTGGAAGGTTCCTTCCGCCTTCGGAAGTATAGTATGTGGTCACTCGGTACTGTTGCATCGGATGATCGGTAGTACGACAAATAATGTTGGAAGAAGACAATAGTTAGATTCAGGGAGTTAATAATAACACGAATTACTTTGAACACATGTAAACCCTTTACAGGTCCTTTTCTTTTTTTTCTCTTTCTGAGGGGTTTTTTGTGCGGTCGGGCTGGGATGAGGGGGTTGGTGCAGGCGCAGAATAATCTCTCCCCGACTCATATCGGAACAAATAGGATGAGTAGAAGAAGAGAATGGGGGAAGGTGGCTCGAAAAGAAGGTTGTGTGATATAATTAGGTAGTTAATCCGATATACAGCCAGCCAATGACAAGACTCGTAAAGGGTATCAAAGAGACCGGGGAAGATCAGAGAACGCAGCACCGCAGACTGTGTGCGCATTTGTTTACGTCGGTGCTGCCCGACGCACGTATGCGCGTCCATCGTCCGAACAAAGCCCCCCCTCGCGTGAGGCCTTAGACACTCTTGGGGGATTTTGTCGGCGATTCCGCAGGTTGCTCCACGACGTCGGACAGCCGCATCCGCTTGGCCAGCGGCTCGCCGGGACTGTCATTGCCCGCCGGGTTGGCAGAGGAGGTCTGTTCGCTAAGCTGTCGCTCCAGCTCAGATATCCGCCGTTTCAGATCGTCTTCGCGCCGTTGGGCCTCCTCCAGAGACCGCCGAAGTCGTACCTCGGAGTCCCGGACGATCATCTCCGATCGGCGCGCAGTCGCGCCGCTCTGCTCCAGTTCCGTCACCCGGCCCCGGAAGAGTTCATTGATAAACTCCAATTCGCTCACGCGAGTCTTCAAAGAGGTATTGGCTGCGAGCAGTCCATCGTAGGTCTGTGGTGACTCGAGATGGCGGTCCACAGCCGCCGAGGTTGCCGTGGGCGAGGGCTGGCGCGGCTGCACCGAGGGTAGCGCATTCGGCTGATTAAGACCATGGTCGCCGATTGTGACACTGTCGAACATGTGCTGGGGCGCAATGTTGGCATTGTGTTGCGACTGCGGGTGTGGTTGTTGCATGGAAGGGATACCAGGCGTTTCGGTTCGGGAGACGGGTGAGTTGGATCGGTCGGAATGGCCCGGTGATGCCTTCCGCGACGCGCGACGGTATCCTTGGGACCCCATGGGCGGCGTCCCTGCTTCGGACCTTGAGGTAGACAAGCCATTTGTATCGATAGCACCGCCGGACTGATAAGTGATTGATATGGATGTTAGCGACCGTTATCTCAGGTGAACGTCGACAGTATACAGGCAGGGAAAATTTTTCTAGACGACCGACTCACCTTACGCTTGGGGCCCTGACCAGCAGTCTTGACCCGGTTGCGACTCTTGATAACATCGGTCTTTAAGCTTATCGGACGGGGCCTGCCATGTAGTTTGAGGAACAAGCCACAAGCGTTGCAAAGGACGGAGCCGAGTTCATCTCTGCGCCAGAGAGGTGTCGTAGAAGTGCCGCAATTCTGGCACACAGGCTGTAATTGAGGACGTTTGTGATCAGCCAACGTGGTCGCCATTGTTTTTGGAACAGTAGGATTGCGCGAAGGAGAAGGGAGGGAAAGACAGAAGATGGGGAAGCGGACTGATAGTGGATGGAGGAGGAAGAGCGCTGGGTTGATAAGATCGGGAGAGATTTGATGGGCTGGCGCGATAAGGAGCAGGTGGTGCGGCGCCAAGCCCCCAGCGGCTGCTGATAACAGCAGATTGGATTGGCACAGAAAAAGAAACCCAGGAAATTAAGGGTCACCATGAACACCAAAAATTTCACCCCAAAGCAAGAAGGAAAAAGCAACAAAACCAGCGTAGCTCGATAAAAACCATCGTCCTCCGATGATAAGATCGTTTCAGTAACTTACAGGATTATTGCCTTGCCCACCAGTAGTGGCAGCCGGAGAAGATGTCGCGTATGTCATATTGGCCATACTGGGCTGCGCATTGCTACTCGAGGCTCTGTACACGTAAGACTCGTCAGCATAACCAGAGATACGGGCGCATTGGGCGTGTGAGCATTCAAAGTTATCATATCGCCCCTTCGGATATGGCAGGGGAATCACGTATGATTTTCACTGCGCTTCCCCTCCCATTCCGTTACCTGGTCTCGTCTATGCAACATCGCATAGGGAAAGGTTCTTGCTAGGTACACATACCGCAGATTGGAAGTAGGCGCGGATGCGACCGAGGCCAAAGCAGAGAGTCCAGGCAGAGATGGGCCCAGAGAGCTGGGAAAGGCACTACCGTTGCTGCTACTGCTCGGGCTGTGGGTGTATTTATCTAGAGAACTCGCCTCGGGAAGCGTTCCAGAATACTGCGATGACGCTGATGATGCTCCCGCGCCAGTATCCGTGGTCGATTGACGCGATCCCGATTGACTGTCAGTCGAGGAGGAAGTATGTTTGTAGTTCGAGTCTTGAGACTGGGAGTTCGACGGCGACGGCGGACGAAGGGCTGGGTCGATGGGCGACGCCCGGAACAGGAGTGAAGCCACCGTGGAGGTTGTCGGAGGGAACTAGCTAGAAATCCGGCCCCAAATGACCGAATTGTAGACGATTCGAGGGGAGGTTTTCCGTCGTTCCGGGAGTGGTATACGACGGTTTGGGAGGAAAGACTCGTGCCGTTGGAGAGGACCAGCCACGTCTGAAAGGGAGGAATGATATGGAATGTCGTTCAACTTTTTTTTGGTTGACCACTTGTGATCAAACGATCAATAAACTTTTTCCAAGCCCGAAATGATTTTCTTTTTGTTCTTGATAATTGCTTTTGTCCGGCCCAAGGGACATCAGAGATTATACTCCAGGAGTAAAAGATCTCAACACAAGGCTGTCTCGGGGACAAGTTGCTGCAAGTCGACCCCAGGAGCGATTACTGAAAGGAGCGACAAGAAGGTGAACAACAGAAGAATTCAAGCGGATTGACCGGAAAGGAATCATGCGAAAGAAGATGATAGGGTTTGGGGAAGGGGATTCGAGACAAATCTGGAGGGGAACAGGATGGTCGGGAGGGAGAAGGAAGATCGAGGGTTGATTATCGGGGCTGCTATCGCGCGTCGGAGGCTATCGATTATTTATCGAAATGGCTCTGCGGAACCGCCGCTTGGCTGGGCCCAGCCGAGTCTTGGATACTCGGATTAAATCTTGGATAGGGATCCGTCACCCGTAGGAATTCCTCCTTATCACCTCCTCCCCAGTCAGTCCCGGGCTGTTGCTATGCTATGCTTCTGCTCTCCAAGGTTTATGCGCCTATCTAATAGTATGCGCGGGACGGGCCCGGAATGAATCTTCGCAATGTTGTTGTCGCGCCCCTGCATGCCCCTTTCTCACCAGCCTAGTATTTACTGTGAACGCCCCTGTGTTCTTTTGTCTTTCAAGCCGGTCCTTCAACGGTCAGAGACCATCATCCTTCACGACTTTTCTATAGTGGAGTGGAGGCTGAGGTGGAGCTGAGCGTCAATAGCAGACTATAGTTGACCGGCAGAGTGGCTGACCAGGACTCATGCTTGCTGTGATCGGAATCAGTCATGGTATTGCTGATTGGTGCGCAACCATTCGACTGTTGATGTTCTCCATTGTAGCAATTCTTCATACATCATGCTACTGCACCTCGTTTCACTCTATCGGTCCATGTCTTAGATCGTAGCATAATCTCGTTGGAGGGATGAAGCCACGGCGCGCATATCGCGTGGAGTGGAAGTGCTGGAAAACGGCTGCCAGTGTCTGCACGGGGTCAATGGCAGTAGCTGTTGTCGATGAACTGGACGGCAAGTATCACAGAAGACCCCGATTTATCTGGCTCAATTGAACAGAGCATGGCTGTTACTATTTGTAGAAACAGAGACTGCGGAGTGAAGTAGTAGTTTGTTGTGCTTTCTCGTTCAACCCACTGGCTCTTTGGATCAGAGGTGAATTGACAGCTCTAATTGAGCAGCAACCTTCTTGGTATCTCTCCCCTTCCCCAGAAAACGTCTATTCCTTCTCCGGGGAAAAGCATCGCGTTGCGAGCCATCGATAATTCAGGGGCTTCCGTGAAGCTCGAGTGGATCCCAGCGGCACGATACGACCAAGAGGTGGCGGTGCGGTATGGTATGGTATCCGGGGTGTGGCTGACTTGGACCCTGACTGCCATGTGCTTGACTAAGCCGCCGTAATTGGTGGTACGGTGACGGTATGAGTGGTAATTGCGGCGAGCGGCCACTTCTTCAAGATGACAGCGGCGCTGCCTCGAACTCTCTCTACGGCTCTGGATTCTTGGAATCTGCTCTCTCCCTCCCTCCCTCCCTCTCTCGGTCGCTCTCCCTACCTCTCCGTGGTCGGGGACTATCGCTTCTACTTTGTCTTTACTCGTCTCTAATCCAGTAATGGCTTGAGTTTGTTCATCAATCATCCTTCCCCTTCTCGCCGTTCATTATCCACCTCCTACCTTAATTCTTTCCCTTGCCCTGTCGCCTTCATATGGTCCCAAAGTGGTTGCCTCCCACTCGACTTGTCCCATTATTTCATAAACTATCCCGCTTCCATTCACTATGCCCAAAAGTAATCGGCCAGCGACCTCGGGGTACGCCCGCTTGGCTCAAGAGGAGGAAGATAGAGCCAATGACTTGTACGATTATTCCGACGATGACGACCTACACGCCCCCAGCACGATTTCCCAATCCGCCCCCCGATATGCTCCCATCTCCTCCCGAGCCCAGATGCAGGCCGCCGGCCTGTCCACACCCCCCGAACACCGTCGACGGCTGAGTGGCCACTATCGCCGAGGACGGAGGAATTCTGGGGTCGACATCAAGGCCATCAATGCCCGCCTCGAACGATGGGCGGAGGAGATCGCCTCCAAGTTTAAGATCAACCGTGTTAAGGGCAAGACCTTCGAGGAGGAGAAGCTCGAGATCTATCACTCTGTCTTCCAGGCTCCCGACGGAGTTCGGCCCATCTCTGCGGAAGCCCTTGAGTCGGATGAGATCGAGGGGGCTGCGCGCAGAGCCCGGGACGAGTTCGAGGAAATTGTGGAGAGTGTCCGGATAGCCATTGAGATGGGTGTCCATCCGAGGATGATCTCTCAGGGAAGTTCTGGTAGTTACTTTGCACGCAATGCCGAGGGTAAAGTTGTGGGAGTATTCAAGCCCAAGGATGAGGAACCATATGCATCCCGCAACCCGAAGTGGACCAAATGGATCCACCGAAACTTGTTCCCCTGCTTCTTTGGCCGGGCATGCCTGATTCCTAACCTGTCGTATGTCTCGGAAGCTGCGGCGTACGTTCTCGACTCGCGTCTTCACACGAACCTCGTCCCCTACACCGACATTGTTTGGCTGTCTTCGAAATCCTTCTTCTACGATTTCTGGGACCGCAGGAAGGCTTGGATGGGCAAGAGGCCGCTTCCTCCAAAAGCAGGCAGTTTCCAGGTCTTTTTGAAGGGCTACAAGGATGCGAACCTCTTCCTGCGAGACCACCCTTGGCCAGATCAGACTAACACTGGTTTCCGAGCGGAGGATGCCCCGAAGCGCAAGAAGCGGCCGTGGAGTGAAGCTTGCCGCCCCTCCGGCGTCCATTCCGATGACGAGGACGAAGAAGAATATGAAGACGGTCAGGCGCGCACGCCATCCCCCCGCGAGGAAAGCCGAGAACGGCGGTTCTACTGGACGGAAGGCTTGAAGCAATCGTTCCGGGAAGAACTGGAGAAACTTGTGATTCTCGACTATATCATGCGGAACACAGATCGTGGATTGGATAACTGGATGATCAAGATCGATTGGAAGACTGAAGAGGTTTCCATTGTCGCTGACCCGCCCAAGCCCAATGGAGTTCAAACAGAAGAGGATGATGAAGACATGCCGCCTGCTCGTCCCGTTTCTGTCAACTCCAACGGGACGAGTGCAGCTCAGCATCCTTATCGGCGACGTGAAGCAATGGTAGCCGTTAGTCGTACTGGGACCCCATTGAACGCAACCGACCCCCAGGTGACCGTTCAGATCGGAGCCATTGACAACAGCTTGTCTTGGCCGTGGAAGCATCCTGATGCCGTAAGTCCACCGTCTTGAAATCAACGCGATGTCACAAACCTTGCTAACCTGTCATAGTGGCGAAGCTTCCCGTTCGGCTGGCTGTTCCTGCCTGTTTCTTTGATCGGCCAGCCGTTCTCGCAGAAAACTCGCGACCATTTTCTGCCCCTTCTTACCTCGACGGCCTGGTGGAGCGGGACTCAAATGGCCCTCCGGCGGGTATTTTCGCAGGATTCCGATTTCAAAGAGAGCATGTTTGCTCGACAGATTGCAGTCATGAAGGGACAAGCCTGGAACGTAGTGGAAACGCTGAAGCACCCCGATCATGGTCCGCTGGAGTTGACACGGCGGACGCGTGTGTGCGTCTGGGATGACTTAGTGGATGTTCCAGTCGCGATCCCCCTCCGCGGGCCGTCCACTGATGCGCAGAAACGGAAGGTGAAGAGCTATGAACATTACGATAAACACGCCAGCTACGATCCCGACAACGAGGAGATGGACATTGGCGCCGCCATGTCCTTTGGTACTGGCCCTGACGTCGACCTGCTGGGGTTGAGTTCTCCTCCAAATGAGCTACCTAATCCGAACCGATTCGAGCTCTCCCGCGGGCGCGGGTCCAGCTCGGGACATGCCCGGGCCCAATCCGGCAGCCCTGCTACGACGGGCGACTACCGATTTGGGCGCGACAGCATTGACGAGCTGAGCCAGGGACGAGGCCTGGACCGAAGCTGGGCCACACTCCCTCCCCGCCCGGGCCACCGGCACCAGAAGCACAGCTCGGTGTCCAGTGCGCGCGGGCAGGCGCATTTGATCTGGAGTAGCGACGACCTGGAAGGCGACCTGGGATATGCCGCCGCAGAGGGAATGGAAGGCAACCAGCGCAAGGTGATTGTCGAGCGACTAGAAGCAGTTAAGAGCAAGAACCCGGTGTTTACCTGGTGTTAACCCGGTTGTTTGCTTGCGATCAGTCAGGATCTGCTCTCTATCGGCGCAGATCCCATCTCATCTTTCCATTCTTCTTCACATTCTTCCTCTCTTCTTTTATTTAGCGTGTATCATGATAACCTGGCATGAGGAGTTCTTTTGCAGGGTCTGGTCCTTGTTGGAAAAATCTTGATGGTTTAGTCATAGAAATGGAAGTTGATCTTCGCGAGGGATATTTGGGCGGTTGCCTCCTTGTCTGTCTACCTTATACATAATACACCAGTATATAGTTTTTGAAGTACAATTAGAATTCTAATACAAAGTCAGCGATGATGTAAGAGTGCTTTAATCTTTGGGGAAGTCAGACCTCTTATCATACTAGTAGTTATATAGAAACCTAGATATTGATATCAGACGGATATCAGCAGGTGAAAAGTGGGCACTGAAACAGCGCCGACCGAGGAAGACCCGCAATCTTATCATGTATCGGTGGTTCCTCGTCACGGTCAAAGCAACTAGATTGATACTTCCTGCTAATCATCTAGTTACTCTTCTCTCTCCTTTCCTCTATCATCACTCACTCTACCGTCATAACTGGCTTTCTTCTTTCGGCGCTTCCTCTTGCCCGGCCGATCATTTCATCTTGGCCGTAAGATGGAAGAGATCTGAGCTCCCCCTCACACACTCTCTCACTTGACGCTCATCCCTACGCCGCCACCACCAAGGCTACCACCACCACTACCACCAACTACTAACCGGACTGCCGCCCTCCGAGTAACTCTCTCTCTCTCTGTTGGATGCTCAGCCCAGCCTTTTCCCTCCACCTGCAGTAGGCAATCCCGACTTTCTTTCGGACCGATCTAGATGTCCCTCCCAGTCTCCCCGCCATCGTCTCATCCGATCCGTGATCAGTCACTGGGCCTAACACTCTACGTCGCACGCGTGTCTCGGGCACCTGCATCCAGTATCGAATCATGGCTTCCCACGCCGCCATGCTCCTGGACCCGCGGGCCTACAAGAAACAGCTTCAACAGCAGCAGCAGAAAAACAATGGTAACTCCCCGGATCCCACTCGTACCCCATCGGATCGCTGGAGCGATGGACCCAGTGACCATCACCAAGAGGACCATCACCACAACCGTCAATACTCCTTGCCTGCCTCGCTGCGTTGCCCCTCCCCTCCAGATGACCCCATCGACTTAGACACCAACGAAAACTCACTTTCTCTTCTAGTAGGAACAAGCGCCCAACAGGATCCGTCGTCCTCGCCTCAGCGCACTGTCGTTGCGCCGCCCGCGGGAACCGCCTCCGCAGCGCAGCGGCTTCTAAGTCCCCGGCGCCGTCAGCCGTCGCAACGGGCGAGCCCCAGGTCAAAGTCCAGATCGCAGTCACTATCTACGAGGTCGCCGAGTACCCGCGATACGGGGAGTTCGTCGCCGCAGCAGCAGGAGGCGAGTTTGGAACCCTCGCTGGATGTGGAGTTTGCTAGTGCTCAGTTCGAAGAGCGGACGGACGGGAAACGGTCTTCGGAACAGATGGATGAAACGCGCCACGGGAATTTAATTGAGAATATGTACGGGGTGGAGGGGCGTTCGAGCCAGCTATATAAGAGGGTCAAAGTAGAAGAGAATGGGCCAGGGTCTGTGAACCACAAGTTCACAGGCGTGGGAAATACGGGCTTGGGCAATTGGATGAAGGATGGTCGTTCAAATTCGAATTCCCCGGCCGTGCTGCCTGATATCGTTGACTTGACTACTGGTATGATGATGGATATGTGGGTTGAAATAATATGCTGACTCTATATTAGATGCGTCAGGCCCAGCGACTGATGACGACGATGTGCAGGTCACCGGCTCAAATGACCTCAGTCTTCAGCGGGTCTGCTATGGGAAGATTGAGAATGCTATGATTCAGGCGCAGTTGGTTCCTAAGCCTTCGTCACAGACTATCTTTGGCGACTCCACGCATGACTGGCCTTCCATGAAGCTAGGCGTGCATCGACAACCGGGCCAGAACAACCGGATCGAAGTGTCAGACCCCAACGGAAAGATATTCGGGACGGTTGATGCGAAAACAGCGTCGGTCGTCGTTCCGCTCCTCGATTCGCCGGCTCTGAAGGTAAATATCACCGCCCGTTTGGACGTCCGGAGGAGAAAGGACGACGAGTGGCCCTGGGCGCCTTGCTCATATGCATACCGAGCCTCCGTCAATCTGTATGGTCTGAGGAAGGATGCGGAGCTTGTGGGGAAACATCTGGGTCAGCATAATGTCTGGCTGGGGACGCCATTTTCGGTAGAACAGGGCGTTCCTGTGCACAATCCACATGCAGAGAGGCGACGGGCTCAAGCGGCGATGCTGCCTGCGGCAGCTGCGAGGGGCCGGGTGGGAGTCAACTATGAAGTGCGAACAGCCGAAGAAGTAAACGACGCCGTGATGAAAATGTTCGATCAGCTGCAGAGCGCCGACAATTTGCCCGAAATGGACACTCCGTCTTCTTTGAACAAGCCGTTGCTTCGGCATCAGAAGCAGGCACTTTGGTTCATGACAGAGAAGGAAAAGCCACGCAGGTTTGGGCCCAAGGAGGCGGACAATAACTCGCTCTGGCGGGTGGTTTATCGCCAGAATGGCAAGAGGCGGTACCGTGAAATCATCAGCGGGATGGTGCTAGATGAAGAGCCTCCACAGAGTCTGGGAGGACTGCTGGCGGACATGATGGGGCTGGGTAAGACCCTGAGCATTCTCTCCCTAGTTCTGTCTTCCCTGGAGGAGGCCAACCAGTGGGCGGATCTGATCCCAGATCCCGAGCTTGTCCGCAGCTTGCCGGGCATCCGCAATACCAAGACGACGCTGCTGGTGGCACCTCTCAGCGCTGTCAACAACTGGTCCAATCAGATCAAGGAGCATCTGAAGGAAAATGCGCTTTCGTCCTATGTTTTTCATGGACCGACCCGGACCAATGACGTGGAAGAATTGTCCAAATATGACCTTGTGATCACCACGTACAGCATCGTCCTTAGTGAGCTGTCTGGACGAGGAGCAAAGCGGGGCGTCAGCCCTTTGACCAAGATGAACATGTTCCGCATTGTGTTGGATGAAGCGCACACGATCCGCGAACAGAGTGCAGCGCAGACTCAGGCCATCTTTAAGCTCAATTCCCAGCGGCGATGGTCCGTGACCGGAACGCCCATCCAGAATCGCCTCGAAGATCTCCTCTCGGTCACCAAGTTCCTGGGGCTCTTCCCTTATGACGACCGAGGGCGGTTCGGAATACACATCCTCAGTCGGTTCAAAACGGGCGATGCATCAGTGCTGGCCAGCTTGCGGGTGCTGGTAGATTCGTTCACGCTCCGCCGGGTAAAGGACAAGATTGATCTTCCGGCACGGCACGATAAGATTATTGTGCTCAACTTTACGGAGAAGGAACAACAGCTGCACGAGTTCTTCCGCAAGGAGTCCAACGTCATGATGCGGGTGATTGCCGGTGAAGAGCAGTCCAAGATGAAAGGTCGCATGTACCACCACATCCTCAAGGCGATGATGATCCTCCGACAGATCAGCGCGCACGGCAAAGAACTGCTCGAGCCAGACGACCGCAAGCGCATCAAGGGCATGAGCGTGCACGACGCCATCGATCTCGAAGAAGGCGCAGGCGACGCTGCTGGAGCCACCGACAAAAAGGCTTACGAAATGTTTACACTCATGCAGGAGACTTCCGCAGACACATGCGCTGTATGCGGGAAGCGCTTGGAGGAGCCAAGCTCCGATAATGGCCCACCCGACAGGCAAACAGCCATGGCGATTCTGCTGCCGTGCTTCGATGTCCTGTGTCCAGACTGTTTCTCGGGGTGGAAACACGCTTTCGACCGTCCGGTAGGCTCGGCGCACGATATCAAATGTCAGGTGTGTGATGGCTGGATGCCAGCCTCGTATTCCACGATCACGGTAGGTGGACTGCAGGACTACATGGTGGATCAGGCGCAAGCCAAACAGAGCCGACGACACGGCAAGACTCTAGGGGAGTACGAGGGACCACACACGAAGACCAAGGCGCTGGTGGCGCAGCTCCTGGAAACAGCCGAGGAGAGTAAGAGCCAGGGGCCTGGGGAACGGCCGATCAAAAGCGTGGTGTTCTCGGCGTGGACGTCGCACCTGGACTTAATCGAGATTGCGCTGCGCGACAACGACATCAACGGGTTCACACGGCTCGATGGGACGATGAGTCTGGCAGCGCGAAGCAAGGCGCTGGAGGAGTTTCACAGTAACCCGGACATCACGGTGCTCCTGGCGACGATCGGAGCCGGCGGCGTGGGTCTGAACTTGACAGCGGCGTCCAAGGTGTATATAATGGAGCCGCAGTACAATCCGGCGGCAGTGGCGCAGGCCGTGGACCGCGTACATCGCATCGGGCAGACGCGCGAAGTGACGACAGTACAGTTCTTGATGAAGAGCAGTATCGAGGAGAAGATCTTCGAGCTAGCCAAGAAGAAGCAGCAACTGGCGGATCTGAGCTTGAACAGGGGGAAGCTGGACAAGAAGGAGGTGCAGGAGCATCGCATGCGCGAATACCGGAGTTTATTCAAGTGATGGTGATATACCGATGATTCCTTTATTCCCTAGTGAAGCACCATATTCACTAAAAGGAGATGCTGCGCTCATACTGATAATACTGGTTTGATACCCGAGAGGCGTTTGGTTGATTTACTGCATTCCTGGAATTTTCACCCTCATTTCACATGCATCTGGATTTCTTTTCCACCCATCATTCATTTGGTCTCATTGATCTATCCCCTTTTTGCCATGTGATTAATTCCGTGATACACGATAGAGGAGAACGGAGGAAAGGAAAGGAAAGGAAGAAAGAAAGACAAAGAAAGCTAAGCTAAGCTAAGCTAATTAGAAGACGCAAGTCAACTCCATACTCCATCATATCCAGCCCAACAAAACAAGACATCAGTAACTAGTAGTATATATCATATAAATCTAACCCCTAGAATAAATCCCCCTCTCCACCACCCCCAAAACCCCCTCCAACCTCCTCCTCAACACCCCAACTCCCTCCTCCTCTCCTCCCTCACCCCCTCCACAACCCTCAACTCCCCCTCCAGCTCCCGGATCCTTCTCTCCTGCTCCGCCTCACTACTATCAATCCCGGGCAACACACTAATCAAGTACTCGATCTGCTGCTCCTTAATCACCAGATCCCGCGCCAACTCCCTCTGCCGCGCAGCGAACGTAGCGGGGCTATCCGGCGCAGGTAACCCTTCTGCCGTACCATCTGCGTTTTGTTGCTGTTGTTGGTCTGCATTCTGTCCCTGGCCCTGCGGGTTTGTGCTGTCAGGTGGTGGTGGTGGCGGCGACGCTTGCGATTGGGATTGTGCTGCTTGGGGCGCGGACGCGGGCACCGGGGGTGTTGATGCGTTCTTGGGGATTTTTGCGAGGAGGGGTGCGGCGCTCGGTGTTATGGATGTTGGGGCGGCGTCGCGGGGATGTTGTCGTGGTAGGTTGTGAGGTAGCAGAGGGTTGCGTAGAATTGGGTTGCGAGCTGTGTTAAGTTGGGTTGGGTTAGTTGGGGTGTGGGTGGTGGTGGTGAGGAATGGGGTGGGTGTACCTGGTCCAGGCAGGTTTGGAGTTGGGTGAGGATGTCTGCCATTGTGTTTTCTTTTTTTTCCCCTGGTCTATTTCTTTTTGGTTTGTTGTGGGTGTAGTGTAGTGTAGTGTAGTGTAGTGTAGTGTAGTGAAGAGTAGAGTAGTGTAGTTGTGAGAACTGTAGAACTAGTAACGACAATAGGTGATGGTGGAGTGGAGAGTGAAGATGTGAAATGAGAGAGAGAGAGAGAGCTTAAGCTGATCTCCGCTCCCCGATAAGTTTGAATTCCGCCCGATAAACCCCAAAATTTAAAGTATTTCTCCAACTTCTACTCTTCTCCTCTCCAAGTACGTCTAATTCAATTTACTCCGCCATATATTTCGGTAAATACTAACACTCATTTTTAACCACAGTATAGATACACATTCAATGCACATCTACAGCCTCTTATTATAAGAAACGAAATAATGACAACACTATCCCCCCTAACCCGCCGTCTCTACAAACTCCCCCCCCCCAATCCCCCATCCTCATCATCCCATACCACACTCCCCTCCTTCCTCGCCCACGCCTCACGCACCTCCCTCCCTCCCACAAGCACAACCTACATCGGCACCCACTACGAATACACCATCCAATCCACCCTCCGCTCCTCCGCGCTCCTCCTCCACCGCACCGGCGGCCGCTCCGACGCCGGCACAGACCTCGTCGGAACCTGGCACCTCCCCGCACACGAACACCCGCCGCGGGTGCTCGTACAATGCAAAGCGCTGAAGGCGAAGCTCGGGCCTAACATTGTTCGTGAACTCGAGGGCACGTTCGCGTCGGCGCCGGTGGGGTGGCGCGGGACAGGCGTCATCGGGATGCTGGTTAGTCCGAGGGAGGCGACGAGGGGCGTACGGGAAGCGCTGACTAGGAGTCGGTTTCCGTTGGTTTGGTGTCTTGTTGGCTTGGAGGGGAGGGTTAGGCAGGTACTTTGGAATGAGAGGGTCGAGGGGGTTGTCGGGGATGGGTTGGGGGTTGGGGTTGTTTATCGTGCTGATGCTGGTGAGCAGGATGCGGAGGCGAGGGTGACGTGGGATGGGGAGGATGTTCCGGGGGTGGATGCGGTGGTGGAGAGGATGGAGGTTATGCAGAGGAGGTGGTTTGAGTTGTGGGGTGTTGGGGAAGAGAGGTGGGAGGAGGTGCTGGGGGTTGTGGAACGGTTGTTTCCGTTTGAGAAGCCGTTGTTGTATGCTAGAGATGGGAGGGTGAGTGGGTTGAGTGAGGAGGAGAGGGAGGCTGTGAGAGAGGAGTTGAGGAGATGTCAGTCTACTACATGAGTATAGAGCATAGTTTAATGTATAGAATGTAATAGTAGTTATAATATTGTCATATCAAGCCAGGGTATATCCGTAAACGCCGTCCAAACTGTCCATCTCACCAAGCACATCTATCCCTGCATCGTCGACCAAAAGTAGTTCGAGTAGAAGAACCGTGAGAACTTCGGGTCAATGTTCACCACATGCACATCGCCCTTGCGACTATTGCGGATCACCGCCTTGGTGAAGTTGCCCGCGTCGTCGGCCTCAATGTCCACTCCTAAGGACCGGTAGATTTTTAATCGCAGCCTATAAAATAGTTAGTCGCCGTATACTCCGTATGAGACAGGTGGGAAGGTACTCACAGCGTCGCATCATCCATCTCACGCTCCCGGCGCGTCGGTTCGTCACCTTCCAACCCCTGCGCTTCCAGATCGGCCAGGCGCTCCTTCAACATCTCCAGCTCGCCCTCTAGCCGCTCACTCTCAATCTCCAGCTCGGTAGCTGACTTGGCGATACGGAATTTCTTCGTGTCCAGCTCGACCATCTCCGCGGCGTGCTTGCCGGAGTCATGCGCCGTCACGGCCTCCTCATGTTGGGCCGTCAGGGCGGACAGGTGCCGGGAGAGCTTGCGCAGGGCCGATTCGGCTTCGCGCGTGCGCAACTCACGCGATTGCTGTAGCGCGGCGAGCGAGTCATTGATGCGGGTGACGGCTTGTTTATCGGGGTGGATGTTGAAGTTGCCGATGGTGTGGTTGATGAGCTGAAGAGTCAGCAATAAGCATAATTAAGGGGGTGAAAGGGACTTACACCAGCGGGATTCTCGTCGAGGAGCATGATAACGGTAGATTCAGGGCTATATACGTTGTAATGTTAGATATCAACCTCGTAGTTCTGATAGCAATGGCAGCAAATACACTCCGGAAGTGGAGAGATGTTTGTTGTTGGAGCAACCGCCACCGCCGCACGCACCGCCACAGCGCGTGACGCCAGGCAGCCCCGGCCATGATTTCGAATCTTCTCTTGTCGCTGCCGGCCAAAGGTCTTCGTTCTCCCACCAGATACATCGATAATTCCTTCAGAATGGGCTCTAATCTTCCTTGTGAGTGTTTCTCTCCCCGTTGGTGCTGGTCCCTCCCCCTCCGCTAACTGCCTGCATGCAGATGCCGCCGATGCTGAGAGGTCAGCGCTTTTCCCCCATCGAATACTCTACCAATACTCCAGAACCAGCACGAAGCTAACCGGTGCACAGTCCGCTAAAGCCAGCGGAACTTCAGGTGCTCCGCGCCCAGTATGAGAAGGAAGGTGACTACGTGGGAATTCAGACCAAGTTCAATTACGCCTGGGTAGGGACCGGTAGATATCCCGATACAAGTCCATTTGGCTGACGGCATGTTTAGGGTCTGATTAAATCCAACGCTCGGGTCGAACAACAAGAAGGTGTCCGCCTGTTGTCGGAGATCTTCCGCGCTGCGCCTGAACGACGTCGCGAATGCCTGTACTACCTCGCGCTGGGCAACTACAAGCTCGGTAACTACGGCGAAGCCCGCCGGTACAACGATCTACTGCGTGATAAGGAACCCGGGAACCTGCAGGCCGCTAGTCTAGGCCAGCTCATCGATGAAAAAGTGTCCAAGGAGGGCCTGATGGGTATTGCCATCGTGGGTGGGCTGGCGCTGGCGGCCGGCGTAGTGGGTGGATTGGTGATGCGGGGGGCAAAGAGACGCTGAGGGATGGCAGAGACTGTGAATTGATTGTTCTGGGTGCATGAGTGTAAATAAGGCTGTTCGGGTGTTTTTATTCTTGCATTGGGGCGTTCTGACAGCAAGATTGGATGCGTGATTAATGTTAATGGATGCTATCACTATCACTACTACTACTGCTGCTTTATCTTCAGCTGCGCCACAGGTGGCTAACGTCATCCCGAGTCGCTGCTTCTTTCCTGCTTTTCTCTTTCTTTCCTCCATCTTCTCTCCATTCTTTCTCCTGCTGTCATCTGATGTCGGTATCTTTCTGTTATCTAACATATCAACCCGTCGGGTGATTCCCATGCTCTAAATCTTTGTCCCCGTCACGCCCGTGGCCCTTGCGGATAAACGAATGCGTGCCCAACGAGCCATGAATGACGCTGCATTGCGCTGCTGCTGCTGCCGCTGCTCTCGAACTATCAACCACCATCACCGCAACATCCCTTCTGCCTGATTGATTCGTCAGATATTCGTCTCCTGCACCACCATCTGACTAGTGTCTACGGTGACAACCTTCCACCCCACCTTTCTATTGTCCCCCTCTCATCCACGCCTCGTTTCGCCGTTGGATTTCGGATCGCCATGGCCGACGTGGGGGACCGCATGTTCTGCCATGCTTGTGGCAACGTCTGGCAGCGCGAAGCTCAGGGCATGATCTGTCCGCAGTGCGAGTCAGACTTTACTGAAATTGTACGATCTCTTCCGCTATCACTTCCATTCAACCCTATCTGACCATCCCAGATCGAAATCCCGCCAGATCCCGACGCCGAGCCCCCGCCCTCATTTCACCGACCCCCTCGCCCCCCGCCGCGGCCAACGCCCGCTCCCCGAATCCATGGGCAGACCACAACCCCTGGGCTCACCAGGAGGAAGATGATGATCTCGATCAAGGATGGGGTCCCGGACATGGGAATGGATTTACCCATCGCACATATCGGTCTCCAGACGGCCGTTTCACCTTCTCCACCACAACCTATACCCATGGCCTCCGAGGGGGGTCACCTCCGACCCAACAGCGACAGGCAAACCCCGACCCACTAATGCCAATGGTGCAGGGTCTAGATAGCATCTTCCATGGTCTCGCAAGCACCTACCGGCAGCAAAATCGCCCAGGTGGCCAAGCTCAAGCTTCAGGCACAAATCGCGACCGCGGGAGGACACTGGGATCTTTTGCGTTTGACATCGAGGCGGAGGGCCGGACCGGCACGCAGGACGGCGGTCTGCACCCGCGAGATGCGGATGGTCCGCAACCGGTGAATAATCCTCTACGGACTCTGGGCGAGTAGGTGCTGCCGATGAACGTTGCTGCACGTTGCAGGGCTAATGATCATCAGTATCTTGGAGCTGTTCCGCTCGGATTTCGGCACAAACACCCAGGCAGGTGGCACTGGCGGCGTCCGGGTGATGACCGGGCCGAATCCCCTCGCCATGCTGTCCACGCTGCTAAACTTTGATCGTCATGGGGACGCAGTATACTCGCAGGAGGAGCTGGACCGCGTGATCTCTCAGCTGATGGAACAGAACGCCAACCGCGGAGCGCCACCACCAGCCCCGCCCAGTGCAATCCAATCGCTGCCGAAGAAGAAGGTCGATGAGGAGATGCTGGGGAGTGAAGGTCGAGCGGAATGCTCGATTTGCATGGACACGGTGGAGCTAGGGACCGAGGTCACGGTGCTACCTTGCAGCCACTGGTTTCACTACAGCTGCATCGAGCTGTGGCTGAACCAGCACAACACGTGTCCGCACTGTCGACGAAGCATTGATGCGCCCCAGTAAGATCCCTTCCCTATGTTGCTTCATCACGCAGACCCTTTCTAACGGCATGCAGAACTGAAGGCGCCAGCAGTCCTCCCGGAAACAGACCGGCAGCAGAGGGCACAAGCGGCAACCCAGTAGTTATCCCCGACAGTCCGGAGCGCGAACGGACCCAGCCATCAGCAGCGCGAGACGCTGCATCACCATCGGGTTGGAGTTCGCAGTCATTCTCCTCATGGTCATCACCATGGTCGGGCTCAGAGGGCCCAGAACAACAGCAACAACGCCGGAGTAGTCGAGGAGAAGGGTCCGGAGGGTTTACGGGGTGGGTACGCAGTCGATTAGGCGGAGGGAGTGGCTGATGGACGAGATGGGAGCGAAGCATACAAATTTATATTCGGGAGATTGGCGATTGATGAGATGTATGTAGTAATGACTTGACTTGACTTCGCGGAGTTTGCCTGCCCTTTTTTGACATGACATGACATGACATGACACGACACGATGAAGATAACTATGCACACATGCATGCACACACAGACAGCATTGATACCTTATCTATACTATCTATCCATCTATAGCTTTTCAACAACTTACCGTTCGTTCGTTAATAACGAGTTCAGTACGATTAGTAACGATCTAACTTGACCCCATACTTGAATTAAAGAACCACAATGGCATTCGATACTGGTATATGTACTAAAACTCTCTCTCTCTCTCTCTCTCTCTCTCTCTAGACCAAGCCAAAAAAGACAAACCGAATACAATCAAAACCGAAAGATCTCAACCCGACCCACAAGTGAAAGTGGGTAGTTGTTCATAGATGCGACGACAAAAATGATGAAACTTGAGACCGAGAAGACTTTTCCTCTTTCCTTCTTTTCTTTTGTTTTGGCTTGTCACTTTTTTGGAGTGCAGGATTCCATCATCGCTCTGATATCGTTAAGGAGGGAAATGCAAGGGAGTTGTGTAGTGTCTAAACGGGAAAATCTACAGAAAATTAAATGAAAAGGAGGAAAGTAGAAGGGGGTAGTAGATGTCAAGAGGTATGATGGAGGACAAAGGATGAGGAGGAAGGAAGGGTGGTGATTTAGAAGCGCAGGTCCCAGCCGATCTTAGGACCCAGACGAGGCAGCTCATCAGCCACGCTCTGGACATCCTTGTCACCTCTTCCACTGAGGTTGAGGACGATATCGCCCGTCTTCATGGATTTGGCGAGCTCCATGGCGCCGAAGACGGCGTGGGAGGACTCCAGAGCGGGGATGATACCCTCGGTTTGAGCAAGGGCACGGAAGCCAGTAAGGGCTTCGGCGTCGGTGGCGGCAATGAACTTGGCGCGGTCGCTGTCCTTCCAGTTGGAGAGCTCGGGGCCGACACCGGGGTAGTCAAGACCGGCGGAGATGGAGTGGGTTTCGGAGATCTGACCGTGCTTGTCCTGAAGGACGTAGGTGCGGACACCGTGGAAGACACCCTTGCTGCCGCCGGAGAGGGTGGCGGAGTGGCGGTCGGTGTCAACACCGTCACCACCGGCTTCGACACCCAGGAGCTTGACGCTGGGGTCGTTCGAGAAGGGGTAGAACATACCCACGGCGTTACTGCCACCACCAACGCAGGCAACGACAGCATCGGGCAGCTTGCCGATGAGTGCCTTCATCTGTTCCTTGGTTTCGTCACCGATGACAGACTGGAAGGTACGCACGATGGTCGGGAAGGGGTGAGGGCCGATGGCGGAACCGATGATGTAGTGGGTGGTGTCGAGGTGGACAACCCAGGCGCGGAGAGCCTCGTTGACAGCATCACGAAGAGTGCGGCTGCCGGCGTCGACGGCAACGACGGAAGCACCCAATAGTCTCATACGGAAGACGTTGAGGGCCTGACGACGGACATCCTCGGCACCCATGTACACGACACACTCCATGCCGAACTTGGCACAGACGGTGGCCGTGGCGACACCGTGCTGGCCAGCACCAGTCTCGGCAATAATTCTCTTCTTACCCAGGCGGCGGGCAAGCAGGATCTGACCGAGAGCATTGTTGATCTTGTGACTTCCGGTGTGGTTAAGATCCTCACGCTTCAACCAGATGTTGGCACCACCGACATGCTCCGTCAAGCGGTCAGCGAGATGGAGGCTGCTAGGGCGGCCCATGTAGGGGTAGTAGGAGCGGTATTCCTCCCAGAACTTAGGGTCGTTGCGCGCCTGATCGAAGCCACGCTCGAGTTCGGCCAAGCAGTCCATGAGGGACTCGGGCACGTACTGGCCACCGAACTCACCGAAACGGGAGGGAATGAGAGCAGGGTCACCAGAGCCGTTCAGAGCTTCAATCTGGTCGACCAGGCCCGGACCAGCCGGGGTGTCGTCGTTGGTAATGACATCGGTGGGCTGAGAGAGGGCAGGGGGAGCCTCCTTCAGGACGGGGTCAAGCACGTTGACGGAGCCAGTCACCTTGCCCTGAGCATCTCTCTCAAGGCGACGACCGGTCACGCTGGAGAGGTAGTCCTGGGCATGCTTAGCCGCCTGACCGGCAGGGGCGTCACCCAAGACGGTGATGATCTGGCTACCAATAACGACACCCTCGGAGATGTTTTGCACGGACAGGAAGTGCTCGCGGGTGCTAACACCGAATCCCAGCGCCGTAGGCACGTTTCCGGACCAGGTGTGAACGCGAGACAAGAGATCGGGCAAGTTCGAGCTGAGCTTTCCGGTAGCACCGGTGACACCCATTCTGGAAACGACGTAGATAAAGGAATCGGCGATCTTGCAGAGAAGCTTCATACGGGACTCGGAGGTGGCGGGGGCAATGAGGGGGACGTAAGAGAGACTGCAGAAAAAGTTAGACCAGCTACCCAAATTTGCGCACACGATGCAGTCGAAACGTACCCGGCGCTGGCGCAAAGATCTCTGAAGCGAACAGCCTCCTCCGGGGGCAGATCGACCATGATGAAACCATTGACACCGGCGTCCTTGCAGTGTTGGAGCATGAGCTCCTCACCATACTGCATCAGAGGGTTGTAGTAGCCCATCAGAAGAACGGGTGCTCTCAGACCGCGGCTTCTGGCGGTGCGGACCTGGTCCAGGACAAGGGGGATTGTCACACCATTTGCCAAAGCCTGGGTGTTGGCCTTCTGAATAGTAGGTCCATCTGCGATAGGGTCGGTGAAAGGGACACCCATTTCGATAATGTCTGTTGCAGATCACCGAAATCGATTAGTTCCCCTCCATATTTGAG